AGTTCTTGGCCTTTAGATCCTTTAACCTAGCTTCATCAGTATTCTTCTTTTGGACTGCAGATGGGGTTTCTTCATTTGCTGGTTCAACGAAGCCAGCTTGCACCACGCTCCAATACTCTTTTGACCTAAGAAGGTTCTCCATGAGGAGACTCCAGTGATCATAATCCCCGTCAAACTTGGGAATGCTTGGTTGCGCAAAGCTACTGCTTTCACTCATCATGTACTGATTTTCACTCACTTTGTTTCACTCTTTCTTCCCTTTTTTTCACACAGGCCAGGCTTTTTTTGAAGCTCTTGATACCAGATTTGTTGCACTCAATAAATCAGTCACACAAGAAGTAGGAATCAATTCCTTAAGTTTATTATGAAAGCTTTGGCTTTTAAATAGCCTTACAAAAATAAACTGCACTTGAATAGTGGAGTTTGTTACACGCATAATTTAAAACAATTTTGAACTAGTCTCTCAAAACTACCTCCTAAAAGGTAGGAGTTTATTTCTGCACTAAACAACTAAAAGATACCACGTCTAACCTAACAATTAATTCATTCCTACAAATTATCACTTTTATTTCCTTTATTCTTTCATTCACACACTTTTTCTGTTCATTATTGCATGCATGCATGCATGCTTTTTTATACTAAACATGCTTTCTTGGTGATTATTTTTCTTGGTTCTTGAAAACGTTTATATGTTCAATAACTGATCTTTTTTATGAATGAATGTTGAAATGTCAGAGATTAGGCATGACCTACGTAGAAAACAGTTGTTTTTCTGATATTGATGAATGGTTGGAACATGCAAACAAGTTCTGCAAATCCTACGACCATCACAATGAGGATAATCATGCAGGTAATTAGTTAGTTTATCATCATTATGAGTCATTATAAATTTATATATATCATGAATGATTCATATGATTCATGTAAGTGATGATTGTGTTTGATCAGAACAACAGCGTGACTTGAGAATTTCAGCAGTATGCAACAATTCCTTAATAGCTCAAGAACATGAACTTTACAACATAATATTACCATGTGTCAGAGAAGAAACTCCTCTTCCACAAAACATTACTTCATCCATAAACAGACATCCACACTCAAGACTCACCAGAAGCAGGCCTAATCCTTATGATGAATTATTGAATGAACACAAAAGGAGGAAACTTGAAGCTTATAAAGACGCGCGTAACAAGGCCAAACACCTTCATCTTATGCAAAGGTCACACTCAAAACCCATGTATTAAAGACGTGTTTGGTGTGTATGACCAGCACGTGTGATCATATTCAACTTTGTCATTTCATGGAATTATTATGTATCAACGTGTCCTTGTTCGCGTCAGGTTTTATAGATGAGACACTAACAAGATAGTTTTTTATTTGATAGGTTGAGAAGGAAAGAAGAAGCTATAAATAACTGGGAACTGCAGCAAACCAGAAAAGCCATGGATCACATGGATAAAATTCAGGCATGGGAAATATTATGTAGCTTTCTGAAAGCCATGGATCATAGACACTAATACTGTTGTTGATTGCATGCAGAATGAGCTTGAAAGAAAGCAAGTAATGGCATCAGCAAAGACTCAAAAGAAAATAAGGTCAGTGAGGGACAAGGCAGAGAAGCAAAAGCTGAAATTGAGACAGTCGACAATGAAAAAGTTTAAACAACTTCAAATACAAGAAACTCATTCCTCTTCCGATACTTCATGGGATTCTCGCTTGCATTTATATTAGAATAAAAATATTTACATGGGAAATAGTCTATTAGAGTTAAAGTATTGTGTCATGAGTTAGTGTTAAGTTTACATCAAAATTTGCAAAACTTAGTGGATCCTGCTCCCAGAGAAATGTCAATATCCGAAGCATGGGCTCGAACCACTTCCACATCGATCTAATAGTCAAAGATATCCAATGATTAACTATCAATATTTCCTGACAAAAAATAACATTATTTTGAATCTTCTGTATTATTTAGACCACATAATACCAGATCAAGACCAAGCCTAAAAATACCCATTTCTTAAAACCAAAACCCTGAACCACCTCAAAAAAATTTAAGATCGAACAAGGCAGAGGCTCCTACCTCTCTCTTAAAGAATTTATACCAAATGTATGAAGCCATCTCACACAAAACAAAGAAGATTTTCCACCAATGAGACACCCTCTTAAGGCCACAATTCTTACCTCCTAATGTTGCTCCAAAGAAAAGGTAAGTCCATAAAGATCCTCCACTTTTACTTAATAAGCAATGCAAGATTAAAAAGTCTAAGGTTATTCACCCCAAACCCAGGTAACCTCTTATCTCACACATCCTCTCACTTAACCCAAGCAAAGACCTTGTGATGGAGTTCAAGACTGAATTCAATAAAATCATTTTCCTACATAAACTAAAAAACATATTCCTCCAAGAGGCCAACCTCTTGGAGACGAGATTAAGCAAGGTTCCCAAGTCCTTCCCTCTTCGAATTAACACCCACTAGGAGCCTGAAATACTTAAAAGGAAAGAAATCAACCTTATATCATAAAAAACAACAGTCAACTCCAAACAAAACCTATCCACATTCATTCTATATAGACAGCTCTTAACAAAATTCACTTTAAGGCTCAGGGCAAACTCCAAACTTCTGAGAACCGCCTTAATAGTCATAAGATTCACAACTGATGGTACCCCCACCAACATTCTATCATCGCCATATTACAAATGAGAAACTCCGAGCCCTTCTGATCCAACCTTGAAATTTTGAAACACACTAATTGAATCTGTCTTTTTCGAAGAAGCATTGAGACCCTCCACAACCAGAAAAAAATAAAAGGGGACAATATATCTCCTTACTTCATACCATTTTGAATATAAATCTCTTGTGTTTGACACTCATTCACCAACACTGAGATGCTACTCAAAAAACACACACCCGCTCCAAGCTCTCCACAAATCATCAAACCAAACCTTTACAACTTACAATCTAATTTAAACAAAAAACACTCACATTGACACCTTAGCAAGATACAAAACTTCATTAAGGACAACCATTACATTCACCAATTGCCTCATTCTCAAAAAAGTTAATTGTTTTGGGGAGATAAGCTTCCCCATTAACCCTAACCAGGTTGGCGGCCAACACTTTAGTCATTAACTTATAAAGGAAGTCAATCAGGGAAATAAGTTTAAAATTGTCGAGTTTTACAAGGCACAACACTTTCGAAACAAGAGCGACAAAAAAGGATGGCAAACTCTAGAGTACCACTGCATTTTAAAAGACCCGCTCACCTCATCCTTAATTAAACCCTGGAACTTCTTATAAGAAGTAAATCCTATACTTTTTGTCCCATCAATCTCTGCAACAACATCGTCCAACTCTAAAGACAAAATCTTGGTCGAAAGGAAAAGAAACCCCACCAAAATTTAGTCTAACAGTCATTGAATCAACATCGTCCAACTCTAAAGACAAAATCTTGGTCGAAAGGAAAAGAAACCCCACCAAAATTTAGTCTAACAATCATTGAATCAACAAAACGCCTGAAAAAACCTCATAATCTTCCTTCTGACTTCAAGAACCTTATCCAACCAAGAGTCTCCACCAACACGAAATGCAACCAAATTATTCCTCATACTCTTTTGCGAGCCCTTAAATTTGAAACTAAAATTTTATTTTGCTACTCTAGGGACTACACTAAATTAAATATGATCTACACAATAAATCATGGTTGGTTTGAATTGTTCGTTAATTCGGAAAAATCATGGTAGTAGTATATAAATCTTTAAATAAATATTCTAGAATAATGATTCAATAATTGGAAAATTAAGGTTAACTTTTCCATGTGTCTTTTTTAGTAATACTTATATATGTAAAATCATGTCATTTTAAATTAGTAATAATGCAAACTATTGTTTGAATTCGCCTAAGTACACTTACAATCATTAATAAACATTTTAGTTAAAAAAAACTAATTTTATCATTAAAATCAACTCAATACTAAAATCGAATGATCGACCAGTGTTTTCAGCATCGACCAACCGGTTAAACCAAACAAACCAAAAACCAAAGGGGTAACCAGTCCGAACGGGCTATTAAATTAGTCATATAATCAATGTTCACAAAAAAAAAAATTAATTGACTTGGAAAATTGATTCAGTCTGATATTTTAGACATTTTTTAGATGACATGATATTTTATAGAACATTTTAGAGACCGGGTCATTCAGTAACTCAGTAACTCTTTGGATAGACCACCGACCCTTTGCCTTTGCGACCTTGCCAGGTCATTCCGGTTTTTAAAACAATCAGATGGACTTAATAAGGCCAATTTAGGAAACATAATTTGAATACTGGTATAATCTAGATAATCATGGACTGGTATGGTCAAGAGAAATTTAAAAATAGCTAATCTTTCAAACAGTAGAGAACTTGCAACAGAATATATCATTTACAATGAGAAATAGTGTATTTTAGATTACCATCGACAGTGTGCAAGTAGCCTAAAATGATTAGTTCATTGACAGTACAAGTAGACTAAAATGTTCAGTTAAGAGATAGCTAGCCTAAACAAATTAACAAACTTTGTGGACAGTCAGACCCAAGAAATAGTGTATTTTAGATTACCATCGACAGTGTGCAAGTAGCCTAAAATGATTAGTTCATTGACAGTACAAGTAGACTAAAATGTTCAGTTAAGAGATAGCTAGCCTAAACAAATTAACAAACTTTGTGGAAAGTCGGACCCAAGAAATAGTGTATTTTAGATTACCATCGACAGTGTGCAAGTAGCCTAAAATGATTAGTTCATTGACAGTACAAGTAGACTAAAATGTTCAGTTAAGAGATAGCTAGCCTAAACAAATTAACAAACTTTGTGGACAGTCGGACCCAAGAAATAGTGTATTTTAGATTACCATCGACAGTGCGCAAGTAGCCTAAAACGATTAGTTCATTGACAGTACAAGTAGACTAAAATGTTCAGTTAAGAGATAGCTAGCCTAAACAAATTAACAAACTTTGTGGACAGTCAGACCCAACCCGAAACCATACTCTCTTCTACTGGTTTCGGACCTCCACAAGATCTCGAGACTGATTCAAAAAGTTTTTCAATCTCTGGTGCACATCTTATGAATGACCGGTTCCAGAAATTATACCTTAGATTCTGGAAATGACAAGAAAACACAGATTCTGTTAATTCCAAGATACACGCAAGAGAAGTATTAAACAATCAAACCAATAAAAAAGAATACCTTGATCAGCTCAATGAAAGTAATGAGGAGTCCCCAGGGATGAGGTCGATTTACTATAAGGCGTTCTAGCAAGACTCTCGTAATTTGCTCTTGGATAATTTCCTGTCATATGCCAAGAAACCAGGTGCTGTTATTAATACAATTGGCTCATGCCAGATGATATTTGAGACATAGAATATAAAAGTTAATTGCAAGATCAAATGTTTATGTGAACCTGGTTTGATTCTGCAAACAAGTAAAGGATGACGAAGGAAAAGTAGTGTGTGTGAGTGTTGGGATAACGCAGTTGGTTAGCAACAGCATTTAGGAAAAGGTAGCGCCCTTCTGTATCCAAGTCAACGATTAAAGTCTGGAAAATATCCAAAGCAGCACCAACAGAAAATACAGCCAGCCCATATGTAGTTTGTGGTGACTGTGCATGAGGAGCTCGAGCCTTGAGCTGCTCGATTGCCTGTAAATTAATAGCCCAAACATTGTACATTTAAAAAAAAAACTACATGTTATGGAATGTTCAGATCATTATTTATTACTACGTTTATGTAAGAAAAAACTCCATGTTACAGAATGTTCAGATCATTATGTGTTTCAGAGTCAACATGCTTTGAACAATTAGTTAATTTTGAAACTCCAATCCAAAGGTTCAGTGACAGGTTGCAAATATATAAGTTTTAAATTTACAGCACCTGCATTCCAACATGCAGTACAAGGGAGTTGATTAATGGCACGTTGTACCGGGTGCCGGCAGAGGCAGCTTCATTTGGTGAGAGTAGCAGCTTCTCTTTTAATTCAGATAAAAGTGGAGAAGGCTGTTCCCTTGTCTGCAGAAAGTTTGAATGAAAATTATAATATAGGAATAAATTTTAAACCAACAGTTATTTGCACTTGTGCAGCCTTGTATATAAGAAATAAATAGATAGCAGTAAAGAAATAAAGAAATAAATCGGGGAAAATGTTCAGAGTCGCATATTACAGAATTGCAACCAGTGAATCAATCATGATTAATTAAATAAGACCGAGACAGGAGACCTGAAGGTATTCATCTATGTCAGTCTTCATCTGCTTTGCTTTCAATGCTGCATCAACCTCAGAAAGAATCCGAGGGGATTGAGTTATTTCTTGAAGCAAATCAATCTGCATACGAAAAACACAGGTCAATGAAGCAATGACAATTTATTATACTGAACCTCAACACAAATTTTAAGAGATATGCAGTACTCCAAGACCTTCAAATTTGGAGTTGAAGGGTCTGGAAGCCTCATACTACGCGGAAATGCACTTAGAATAATATTTCGCATCTGTATGCAACTTGGAGGGATCACATCACAGAAGGTAAAGTGATAATCACAAAGGAACTCTGGGAAGTCGTGAAGTAGCACCAAGAGCACCCTAAGTGTTCCCTTGTAGAGAACACGGACCTAATTATAGCAAACAAATGTTCATGAGTGAGAACTATTGGGCATGAGACCAAATTGAGAGCAAATAACTAAATAAGAGACAGAGACAAACCGGATCTCCTAGCTCGGCATGCCTCAGAAAAGGCTCCATAAATTGGAACAAATCTACAAGCAACCTTTGGATATAAGGCCAACCTTTTTGAAGATTACCAGTCAGCATTTTTGGCATGAAGCTCCTGTGACTAACCAACTCCAGCCAAGCAAAACTGAAAATAATTCCACATGGGAACCAACTACATCGTAAAACTGTAGAAGTGCATCTTGAATTTTTATTATCTTCAGTGTCAAAGGTGATATCCAAGCTCGATAATTTAACAGTGATTAGAGAACTCAAACAAATTCAAATAATCAGTACAAGACATAATATAACTTAAACGACGAGGATTCTCCGACCATTATGAAAATATGTTCACAGTTTACCAAGTAAATATGGGACTCCCAGCATTAACAAAGAAAGCCCTGACAAAGTGAACTGGAAGCTCACTTGACCATTTTCCCTAAACGAGAATTCTTAATAAATTCAGCCATATCAGCATTTTCATACCAGAAACACAAATAGTTTAAAAGCTTAGATACAAATACTGTTCAATGATAAAATTACCATTAAACCACAAATCAGCCAACTATCAACCATAACTAAACAACTATATGTTACCTGAATCCAGGAACTTTGAGTGGCTGCAGAGCATGAAATGCATTGGCAAATCCAGTCAAAATCTGCAATATAAGCAATAGTATTAGTCACACACATAGCATTAGGCCTTCATGGCAGATTGAGGTGGCTAATTTTTTTGTTAACCACTAGGACCAATTTGTGAAGGATAGCAGCAGTGGCATTTTATAACAATGACTCAACTTAGCAACCAAACTATCAAATTTCACTTAAAAAAATAACAAATTTTCTCTCTTCAAACCCTTGGCCTCGTCTTAAAATCCATCAAACTTATCAAAATTTAACCAAACTCCTAGCTTCTAAATATTCAAACTTGGGTAGAAAATCAAAATGAAGGCTTTAGATAGCAAGAAAATTGGCAGGATTTGCAAGAAATCAAAATAAATTAGATTACATTTGATCAAAAAAGTAATGAAGGACCACAGTCACATGTGAAAAGCAGTTGAAGGACCAAATTGCAATCTAGTGTATATTATGACATTTTTTATATCCCAATTCCAGATTGCAAGTTTAAATAACAAGAGATTTACAAGTTTAAATTTATTCCATTCACCAGTCTAAATATTATTAACCTTCAAATATTTTTAAAATATTACATCAAGATTTCTGCACTGAGACTCTGATCTACCAATTAAGTTTATAAAGAGTGCAATCAACAAGCTCTCTAGCACACACATATCAGCAGACTCTCTTCTATTGAGTAAATTCATATGGAACCCATCAATTTTACATGGGACCCGCATAATTTTGCGGGACCTACATAATTTCCAATCAATAGAAGAGTGTGAGAAGATGTGTGTGTTAGAGAATGTGTTCATGCCTTATACTAAGTTTATATATCTTTCAATTTCACATTTGACAATTAATACAAATTAAATACATGTGACACTCACATCAATGTGATGGATTATTTCACCTGACCATTATTAACACAGATTTTGCTTTAAATTTCAGTTTTTTAACAAACAGCACAGTCAACATATAGAACAAAATTATGATCATTCTAAAATAGAAACTAATGGAGAAAAGGCTAAATGAAAGTAAAAGAAAGTAAAGAAGGATAAATGAAAGTAAAAAGAAAGTAAGGAAGGATAAATGAAAGTCACAAACACCTGGAGATTTGCACCATCTGTAACAGGCTCAAGTGAGCCGAGATCTAGAAGCCAGTTGATGAACAGTCTGAAATATGGTCTGGGATTAAAAGAGACCTTCTTCTCCTCTGCATCTTTTACAATAAATCTGACAGTAACTGCTAGAATCTGCCAGAAAGCAATATGCAGTTTTAGACCACTGTAACAGAATTAATAAAGCTTGGGAGGGAGACAGACAGCATTTGATGTTTTAGTTTATTACATACCTTGGAGAGAAGAAAAAGTTTGCTTGATCCCTGTCGCAAACACCCACCAAAGTGCTAATAAGATAACTACTCAACAGAAGAGAAAAGAAAAGAAGTGTAAAGATGACAACCTTCAAGATTGAGAAGACAAGCTTTGCATAAATATCAATTGCGAGAAATGACATTGACAGCATTTGTTGAGGAGATTGCAGTGCTCCTGAATTATTCCCCTCGGTGGATAAGCAATGTGCAACTGCGATTTCCTGGAAAGAAGATAAAAAAGAGTATAAGTCAAATTGAAAATCCTAGCCAAAAGTATGAAAAAATTAGCTGCATGGAGAAAGAAATGCCACCATCAACAGACGGAAAAAGCGATCTGTCATGTCATCCCCCTTAAGCAGCCCGTTCTGATGCAACTGTAGGATGAAGTGGGTAGCAGATGTATCATTGGCACCAGGAAGTTCACATATACCATACCATTTAGCAAACAACATGGACACCTACAACGAATACATAGCAAGTAATCATTAGAAGCTTCAAGTTAAGCTAGTACTTTAGTTCCATATATTTTTGGGGTTAGGATCTCTCTAATACCAAATGACAGATTAGATATTATATAATAAGATGGGATAAGACTTAAGAACCGAGGTGAATGATATTTATGAACAAAAAAAAACATAATACAACTTACAAGAACAATTAAGCATCCTCTATTTACTAACATATTCTATTACAAACAGGTAGTGATCCCGCTTAAAGATAATCTATATGGCATCGATGCAAATGCAGGGGAAATAAAAAAAGGATCATGCTAACATATGTTCAGGATACTATAATTGGAAAAATTAAGTGTAATAAATTCATATTTAAAGTTTCAAAACATTGAATGCATGCGTTCCGAGAAAATATTTCTACAAATAGTTTATTAACTTGGGTCCTTGGGGCACATGTTAGCATTTGCCATAAAAAAAAAAAACAATTTGAGATTGCCTTTACATAGAGTTGGGGAAAAAATGTCATGTGAGAAACTCTACAGCACATTTTATGTTGTCATGTGTAGAAAATGACAGGGGTGACAATCTATTCCTTATGAAGGAAAAATAGAGCAAACTAACAGATATTTTAATACAAATGTATGTTCAAACCATTGAACAAGTACATAATTTAGGCATTTTAAATTTACCAACAATTTATCCTATGGAATATCTGACGGTGACGCAGTATGAGAAGCATCAATATAGAATATTAGGTTTTCCCTCTCTCTCAAGTGTTTTTAGCAGTGGAAAAAATTCAGCTACTGCCAAAAATTCAGAAATATTTGGTTCCAAATTACAAATCTTATGCTCAGGATGAGCCAGTTATCTTTTCATTAGTTTTCAATGCAATAGAAATTCAGACAAATTGAACTCTCGATTATCTTCTTGAGAATTAAGAGATATTTCTCTGTACTTTATACATTCTGTTATCCTCTTGTCATCGTGTCTTTGGTGTAGTCACTGTTTCCGTAAAGATCCTCTACTTCATAAATCAAAGGATTGTGGGTGTTAACTTCTATCACACAACATACAGACATGACAAATAATTTCAAATATACCTCCTCACGGAATCTAGCAGGATCAGGTTTGGCAGAATCTACAATGCTTAAGTCTTCCCTGTTTGCAACTAGCAGACTAGGACCCTGTTTTTGATGAGGGGATGGAGAAAATATCATGTTTCACGATAATAAAAGTAAAAAACACATGAAACAATGGAGCAGTTGAAATATTAGTCTCATATAACCTTATTGTCTCTTGATTGCCTCGATTTATCCTCATTTCCAGCATTACTAGCAGATAAAGTAACAGGATTCTTGATCATCTCAATGAGTTGTTGCAACGATTCAGGGTATCCAGGCTTTGTAGCAAGCTGAAATTAAAATATGGTAAGATATTGGATGATAGGAACAAACAAAGCCACTCAGATTTATATACACAAACCTTTGCCAAAGCATCGATAAGATTGTGAAGTTCTGAAACAACTTTTGGTTCCTCAATGACCAGGGTTTGAAGAAGAGAGATTGAAAACTCCGTAGCAGCCTCTGTACGTTTAAGCCAGTGAAGTTGTTAAATTATAAAAGTATAAAAAGGGTAAAACAATGGAAGGTATTTTTTGGACATACTGTTTCTTCCCCCGTCAATAAGTTTTGCCATGTGAACATTGTACTCGGTTATATTAAGTAGTTCACTACGGATGAGACCAACAGTAATATCTTTATTGTATTTCCTCTCTTCATCCGAGTAAATTACCTGCGAGGATTATACAATACATGTGTAAATAAATTTATACACAAGAGCACGGTTGGAATATGTCAGCTGTATTTTATTTTATTTTATTTCTGTAAATTAACTAGTAGTTAGCTCTTTGATTATTGTTGTACTATGCCTAAGATCAGTGTCTCTAAAACTGTGCATGGATGGTATTAGAGCCAAAAGATAATATCATTTGAAAATTGTAACTGCAATTTATGTTGTTAATTTCTTAAATTTTACTTCGCTTCTTTTATTGTTAGCATAAGAAGAAACCTAAACCATCAAAATTATAGAATGAAATTCAAAAAAAAATTATCAGCACAAGGCATGTTCATTACAAAAACTACTAGTATATGGTATATAAAACTAAAAGGTAAAATAGAAAGAAATGACAAAAATTAAGCTTTTGACACAAAATTTCAGTAAATCTACTTGACTGATGGCAACTTTCTGTGAACAAAACATACCCAACTAGTAAGCTCTTTGACAGCAAGCTTGCAAACATCACGAATGGCAGTCAGGATTGCAAGATACGCATAGACATGAACGCTGTTTGAAGCATTGTCATATAAACCCTTGAAAACCTGTTTTGAAATTAGAAAATTGATAAATAATAAGGTACTTTTCAAATAGAAAATACTTCGATGATCATTCTTGGTCCTTCAATTGAAAGTGGGATGTTATACACAAGGCACAATTAAAATACTATGGAAGAACAAAATACTGACTAATGGATAACATATCTCGCATCGCGCATTCAGTATAATTCATGAAACACAGAACTCTGCAGAAGAAACCCACCTTTTGAGCCACAGCTAAAGCGGCCTCATCTCGACTAACACATCTGAGTATGATTTCAGGTACCTCAGAAATGACTCCCTAAACATAAGTAGAACCAAAACAAATATTAAAACATGGGGAAAAGACCCGTCTAGAAAGAAACAGACACAATCCAGGCAGAACAAGTAAAATTATAGCAGTGGTACCTATACGTAATTGCATTAGCTCAAATAAAAACAAAACAATATACCTGTATTTCTGCCTCCCTCGAATCATTGTTGACCAGAGCCTCCAACTGACAACCAAACACATGCTGTTAATAAACATCTATAACAAACTTGATATGAAAATAGTCACGCAAAAGAAATAACCAATAATTCATGGCATAACTGATGATTCTGTTTCATATACTACCTCTGTTCTTTTTTTGTAAGAGACAAGTCACTTTTTAAGGTTCATTGAATAACCAATGTATTTGGTCTGTTTATAAACTAGATACATTAATTATTTAATGAACCTAAAAAGTGAATTCTCTCTTATAAAAAGAAACGGAGGTAGTATTATTTTATAATAATTCTACATGAAAACCTATAGGATTAACTTCAAGGCCCTACTGGAAGATGCCCAACAAGCATCCCCATGGATGCATAACAATTTTATCCCCATTAACAAAAAATGACTGAAAAATCAAATACAGAACAAATCTCAATCAACCTACGCACACATTCATTTGAATTGAAAACTTACCAAATTATGAAAGAAATCAAACAAAAGAGACAAATCTAAAATTATCCAAAATTAGTAAAAGCAGCTAGGACTCAAACTAAATTTCTAAACTTTATCTAAAGGATTATGTTCTAGATTTCTAGTACCACAAAATGGTAAATTCACCCACAAGTTTAAAAGCCTGGCTAGCTAGGACAGCTTTTCCCTCATACAGTAACAAAACAGTATGTTATCAATCTTTTCAAAGTAGTGTTCTGGGCAATGTACTGTGATAAGGTATACTACTACTACTACTACTACAACAACTAAGCCTTATCCCACTAAGTGGGGCACGGTAATGTTATACAGCAACAAAACAAAAGCTTAACAGACCCAAACTACTAAAAGTACAATCGGAAAAATGAACCATCTGCCACATAATGGAGTACAAGTCTGAACAAATATTTGCATTGTGTGAAGTTAGATGGAGATGAAATATGTTAGCTATATAAAACTCCTCAAATAGGATATGCAGAGAAACAACCAGCTATAAAGATCAGGAACAACCTTTTGTGCAACAATTTGGTATTTATCCAGAGCATCCCTTGTAGAGAGAGATGATTCCAAGAAGCTACTTCCAATGCGCTCCACGGCACCTGATGAAACCAGTGGCTGTGAAGAAGCTCCAGATTCCTTGCAATAACACAGAAGCAAATTTAGACGCCATTTGTGATACATTAGGAATAGATGCAGTTACAATGCTTATATAAAATTCTCACTTTCACAGCATCTGAAGAATCCACTGCAAGCAACTCAGGGGTGGAAGCAGTTGAAGGAAACGAGGCAACGGAGTCTTTCTCCATACTATGATGGGAAACATTGTCGGCTGCTCTAATGTTAATTGAGGAAGCACTGAAATATTAAACGCAGAGTGTAAATAAAATTAGGCTTGTAAAGTTTTAAATAAATCACCATGCTGAACAAAATTGGGCACCTATGATGTGGAGCAAAATTAGGTTCTGGCATATCATCTATTGGTCGAGAGAGCCGCTCATATCCTGTGGTTAGAGCGTAGCCAGGGTTTATCTGTCCTGATGCAGGAGCACTGGTGCCAGTAATACCACTATTGGCAGATTGAACAGAAACACTGGCGGACATTGAATGTGAACTCTGGCTAGACTGGTTTTGCCACGGAAGCCGAACAAAGTCCTAATATAAATGAAAAACAGTTAAACTGTGTAGTGTTCTTCAAGCATCTATATCTCATCAAATATTTTAACACACAAGGAAGAATTGAATACCTCATAGACACGTTGTTGTGACAGGGACAACTGACCAGGTTTAGGGCGAAGGGGCTCTGGAACACCACCCATAGAACCTTGTGGATACAAATTTGCATCAAAAAATGTAGAACCCATACCTTCTCGCTGCTTCTTTCTCAAAGAAAGTTGTTGACTAATCTCTGTATCCATGGTCTTTATTGCCTACAAAATAGCATGGCACCTAAGTCAACAAGCAGTAAGCAGACAAAGACGTGTGAATTTCCTAGAAAGGATTACAATTAACCTATTTTTATCATAGCTGTTAACAAATTACTAACTCCGTAAGTAATTTATCAAAATTATGAAGTTACAAGTCTTATCCCCCAGCGCACGATACTCGCCACAAGCGAGATCAGGGGAGGGTAGATTTACGTAGCCGTATCTACCTCCCGCCAATAAGCAGAGGATTTTTCCGAGATTTGAACCTGACCTCCAAATTACAAGGCAGAAACCATACCAATTCGCCTAGGCTTGCCCTCTATGAAGTCACAAAAAAACAATGTTATACGCATTACTGTAAAACGTGTATTTCCTTCTCTGTAACACCGACATGTATGTTCGTGTGACCAATTAGTGGTCCAAAAGTACTAGTTATACAACTACCATAAGTTTCAGTAATAATCATGGATACATCGCCCTGATCATGGTGCAAATACATATAAAATTATGTTATATCAGAGAACTAATATAAGCATAACTTTCCTTACTACTAGCATTGCCACAAATAACAACAACTACAGGAAAAGCAATCAAGCACTAACCTTATCAGTGGCGGCATTTTCAATGACTGCACAACCAAGATCTAGATTATCATTGGTAACAAGTTGCACAGCTTGTTCCAAAATTTCATTTCCAATATTTAAACTCTGAAGTGAAGTCTTCAGTTGATTTGATATTGATGCCCGTAAAGGTTCCTAGAAGAAATAGATTCAACAAGTAGCAGAAAATAAAAGCCAATAAGGAGCCAATAAAAGAAATCATCCCAACAGAAATTGCTCGATGTATAAAAATAAATAGAAGAGTTGGATAATGGCCATATTTCAGTGCATTACTTTGCATGTCACGTGAGCCAAACTCCCAGCCAGACTAGCAACCATCAAGTTTGCTGCATTTCTAATACGTTTCTCCTCTGATTCCATAGCATAATCCTTCAAATGCATAAATTAAAATAACAAAGATCAATTTGAGTACAAGTTATTTCAGAGATTAAGGCTATCAGTTAGAACTTAACACAGCACAACAGCTGTTTCTATATGCCACCACTTAACCCTAGACAATGATGCATTAAGAGAATTTTTAACTTCCAGCTAACATATTTCCACCTCAATCACCAAATGTCTATAAAAAGAAAGCTATTAACATAATTAGAAAAATACAAATAACAAGTCACAACATTCCATTGTAGCAAATATAAAATTAGGAAATGCAAAAAATTGAATTGCAAAACCAATCAGTGGGAAGTAAGGATCCAGATGCTCTAAAGCGGGCAGTTTACATGAGTCTAAAGCAATATCCAGTGTTGTACATGGGGGACGGCAGTCCATGGCAGAGAGCCAAAATTCCACCATACCGGCTGCTTTGTGGCGCCGTTATAGCGGATTATGGCGGAAAAACCCGCAATGTCTGGCGATATTTACCATTGCGGCGAGCCCAAAAACTGCCATGTATATCCACCATGGCACCGCTCTTTGAAGGCACATAGTAGGATATCATGAGTTAGTTGAAATAACAACCATTGATTTTCCCACTTTACTATCTACTATAGTTGGAGCCAATTCGAGAAGCAAGGTTCTACAGAAATTTCAACCTTTAAAACAAGTTCCTTGGTAGTCTGGGTTGCTATGGAAACACTACGCTGCACAATACTGGACACTATTTCTTTGATGGCTCTGTCCATTGCAATAGGTACCGCTCTGTAATAGATATATAAAGTTAGACCATCACAACAAAAAAAAAGGAACCAGAAGAATATAGCAAGAACACCATACCTTTGAAAATGAATCTGTAACCCAAAACCACTGAGCTTTGGATTTATAATAACATGAGATCCAATAGTATGTATCTGTGTTGGGAGCTATAAACATTTTAAAAAAACATCAATTATGCATAAAATACAGAGCCATCAGGGGGTATGCACGGCACAAGAAAGAAAAGAAAGTTTGGATGTTAACCTGGAAAGGTGCTGGAGCAGTATTTGCCTGTAACAGTCCTTGAGCAGAAGGTAATTGATCAGATAAGCTCAGAGGTGCTACTTTCTCATCTTCCATCAAGGTTCCCGAGGAAATATGAAGTGGGCCAGCATACTATCCACCCAAGAAATATTCAGAAAAACAAGTTATAAATTAACGGAAAACAGTAGTCAAAGCCCCAGATAAAGATAGGAAAAGAAACCTGAGACATCATATGTGGATGAGCCCCGCTATTGGATGGATTGGGGACTTCAAGTGGTAGCTCTACTTGATTTACTGGAGGAACAAGGCTGGATTTTATATCAGAAATCATCTGTGGTGATGCTCCAACATCTTTATTAGAGAAATCAGGGTTTCCTTCAATTTCTCTTTTACAATCCTTCAGGAGAGAAGTTGGTGTGACATCCTTCATATCTACGCCAAGATTTTTGTATAAAACCTCTATGTCAAACTTGAGGTTCATTTTCAAGTTTGGCATTGAATAAATTTCAGCAAGCAATCCTAAAATACCCATGGTCCAAGGATTAGGGGGCTGATATGCAAGACTGTTTTGGCATGGTTCAAGGACCTACATGAAATTGAATGGTAAATACAGCACAAAATTAAACATAATCATGAAAATAGATAATTATAACAACCAAGAATTCTACCTTTGAAGTAAATGGAATAACAGCAATCATCAGCCCCTTCTCATATGCCTACAAAATGGAATACAATAATATAAAGTACAATATAAATCGAAACTCCATTATTTCCTGACATATATTCACTGTGGATATTACCTCTATAATCAAAGATTTCGGATCTATTTCCCGAGCCCTCAAAACTTGATTCCGTCCAATTGTCAACTTTCCAAGCCAGCTCCCCAGATTTTTAAGCAAAGAGCGCTCTTCTGAACTTGACTTTATAAGTTCGGATCCTAAAAGAACCTGAGAAGTATACCATGTATCATTTCAATTTTTTTGCACATATTCACTTCAATCAAGCAGAGAACAGTAACAAGACTCAAACCTTGCAATTTTCATATGTTGCCAGGATAATCGCTCTGTTCAAAGCCTTTGAATTAACTTTGTCTAAGAATTTCAGGTACATGTCATGGAAATTTGGCTCGATGCTTGCTCTACAAAAAATGATCAATTTGTATAAGTAAATGAAATATATCAGTATATACAATAAAAAGAAGAAAAAAATATAATAGTATGCATGCACAAAAAAGCCATGCAAAATCTCCTAATTCAATGTTGGAGCTGAGTCAACAGATCAGTTATTGATCACCTCACCAGTTCGATTAATTTTGTAGGTAAAATCGACTATGTCGTAAATACTTACAGGTTGAACATAATTTGTGTTACAAACATACAAGAAGTGAGTTTTGTATCCTCAAATCAAACACTGATGAACACTATAACCTAAAACTTAACCAAAACCAAATAAGAGTTTCTAAAATATTTCTTTTACATCAACAGTTAATCTTTAGCTTCCTTGCTGAACTTAATCTCCGAGGCTCCCCAACTATACTCATTGACAGCATATTACACCTCAATGTACATAAGTTTATGTGGAAAAAGCTTTTAAAAGCGATTACATGATTCAATTACGAAGTATGCATACCTTTTCATGACCATATACTGTGCAAACCATGGATAGTACTGCTCTTTCAAAATTTCAGTGAGTTCTTTTGCTTTGGCCTCGGTATTAGTAGAAGCTATATTATTAATTAGGAATGATATCTTGTCCTGAACCTCTGACCCCGGAGCCTATTAATAGCAAAGGAAAAGGAAAAAGTGAACATAAATAGAATAAAAGCTAGTTACATTTATACAACCAATTAAACGGACATAGGCAGAGGGTGAAACACAAAATGAACATACTACTACACTCTGCACAAGAACAAAACTAAAATGGTTGATGGTCTAAACTACTGAACATAATTATAAACAAAACTCAAGAAAACAGAAAATTTGATCAATTTCTTGTAAATGGTTTGAGCACCTCAATAGGAGTTTCTCTTTTCTCTGCAGCAGCGACCAAAGTTTCAATATTCAAGGCAGATCCAAACCCTACAAAATTGACAGATTAAAGAAACACAGCAAAATGTTAGAAAATGAGAAACAGAAAGAAACCCTAATACTTATGCCCTTAAGTAATCAACAGGAATTGTGCACAAGTAACAGAAATATACTGGTAGAAGTGGTTCCGCGAGACGGACGGACAAAACCAGAAGAAGAAGATAACATTGATGAGGCACTGACTGTGCTATGTAACTGCAACAGTAGCAAGAAAATAAAACATTAGAGTAATAATATCAAAAACACAGAAATAGAGAAAGGGGGGGGACATCACACCATTCACATCATGCTCTAGAAACACTATGAAAGTACAGTACCTTATTGCCACTAGAAGTATCAGCCGGTATAATCACTGAAGATTGCCCTAGAGAAGCTAACGGAGGCTTCATATCAGTCGACGAACCAACAGAGGTCTTGTGAGAATCATCCAGAGGATTCTCACGTCTCTGTTGAAGCTGCATTGACAAATGCTGCTGCCCAGGTTGTATGATGCTGGAGCCGCTGAGCTGTTATTGGGACAGGGCATACAACAAAACCATTATTTCAAAACAGAAAAAAAATTGAAAAGGACAAGAATATGACTTTAGTGCGCATTCTGATTTTTCTCAAATTGCTTGTTTATCTAAATTTGATATTTTGCAGGAGATACTATGATCCTACACTTTCAAAAAAAACTGCTGCTGACTGCCAACTAAAATAGATATAACCTAAGTACAACCAAAAGTAAGATCATATTAAGACATAGGAAAGTTCAGAAACAAGGCGGTTAGAACAATCAACTTAGGCAACTGTATTGATGTGTGGCTACATGTTAATCTAACAATAAATAGCTCGTCATCATGAAAAGAGTTAAAATATAGCTATAATTGTCTGGCTCATATTATTAACAGCACTGACATACCGTAAATAATCCAAGCCATGGCTATAAAAATTTATTAAAATTACAAACAAATACGGGAAATGGTTTTATTTTTACCTCTACATGACCTAATGTAGCTTGTGCAGAACTATGGTTACTGATAACAGCGGAAGCATGAGTCGTCCCATCTACATCTGTATGACCAGAGGATATCCTAGCAAGAGCCTGTTCGATGAAAGCAACTATTTCGGAATGTGTGCTGCGCAAATGGGAAATTTGCAAAATGTGATTGCAATACTGAGGCCACTCAATAAGACGATCCACAAATTGCTCCAGTGCCAAACTTCCAAACATAAACATCTGTAAGATATGAAGGCACAGTCAAGCAAACATCAAATGGACCTTAAAAGAAATTCACTCTTCAAAACAACACAAACTTTAGAATCTGCAGGCTTGCGCAATGCATCAAGAACATATCGAAGAGCTATCCCAAGAGAGAGATGTGTCACAAGATGATGCTTAATCACAGAACCTGATACATTAAAAAACATTGTAATTGTCATAAAATAATATGTTACCATATAGTTCCAAATTTGTGCACACTCAAAAACATCATTTTGAAGTTTCATATATGTACACCAGAATGATGAAGAGTTGGTGAAATCTTCTTAATTATATACCGGGAAAACAAACAAAAAAATACTTATATAATTATGGTAAAAAAATAAATTATATGACATGATTTACAAGTAGAGAAGCAGATGGCACGACTTCGGTGAAACATCTCAAATTAGCTTGACCTATAGAAAAATCTCAAATTCAAATGCAATTCTAGCTCAGCTTAATATCATAATCTGTTGTTCACCCATGATTTCCATATAAAATGCAACTTACTACCCCAGATATAATGCTGTCTAATGGAAACCAGGTATAGTCGGTAAATACTATGGAATTAAATTTCACCATTTACAGTACCAAAAGAAAAACTTACCAAAGATAAGTCCGGCAATTTTGAGTTGCATTTCTGGATACCTTGGGTAAAACTTATACTCCTCAAACAAGTTTGCAATCATGCATTCAAAAATCAAATTGTCTCTGTTAAAACAGAGAAATGTTAATGGGGGTATTAATATTTAGCCATAGATCGCTTAATAGTTTTTCAGATCATACACATAAGAACAGATAGACCAGATAATCATTCCTCACATATTTTCGTCAAGTATAAGTTCTTGCAAAATGCAAACTTTCCTTTAAACATTACTAGATAAAAATAACCTAAGTTGTAGCCATGAGATGACCGGGTACAAGTTGTCATTGAGAAAGGTTTCAAACGAGGGACAAAATAATATACGTCTTAATCTCTGACCTTGAAAACTGAAAACTTGTCATTTCTCTTACCTATGGCAATTGAAAGGTTTAAGGCTATTGCAGATTTGATAAAATGTGTCTAATCTCCAAAAAAGAAATTACAAATAAGAAAAAAGGCAGGTTTGAATCAAAAAAGCACACAAAACACCTAGATGCGCTTGCTTACAAATATGCAACACTAGGACATTGCTTACAATACCAAATTGGCAAATAAGCCATGTGGAAATCTTTTAAAAGACATCACCTTTTCACAGAAGATTCACTGAATCGGATTAGATTTTGCACCACTGAAGGGACGGATATCTTATCATGAAACATCTCTTGGAAGATCGCGTTTGCTTCTTCTTCAACATCATTCGGAAATTGTGTAGAAGTAGGTGAATCAGTAGTCTCGCTATTTTGAAGTCTTGGATTTGAATCTATAATAGATATATGCAAACTCTCCAGCTCCTCAGAAAGTAGTCCAGAGGTAACCAAGTCAGTATGAGACTTGAGAACCTGTATTTTGACAAAGTTAGATCTCAAATAAAAGTGAAATTTGATGAAGCCACCATAGGAATAAAAACCAATTGATCCGAGTAGAACCTTCAAGAATATAGCAGTTGTATCAGCAAAGAAATTCAGAACACCAACAGACAGATGAAAAGATTGGTCAGATAGATTATGTGATCCGACAGCTTGGACTTCCTTCAAAAACTTTAGGCACTCCTGCAAAGTAAGCCTATATATGTCAGCCACTACTCTGCTTATATAAATCCTAGGACTACTCTGGACTTGATTATAAGCCAAAAAACGTTTGACTTGTTGGACTGAAAAAATATAAGCAAATGCCAACTAATCTATCAAAATTTAATGTTACTATTTCAAAAATATTGTTAAACTAACTCTTATGTTGTGAGGAGAAGATGTCCGTAACTACCATCCACTTAATATGCGTGAAAGTGAGTATTTTGTGTATGCATGAGCATGGAGTATAACTTAAATGCACGATATGATAAGACTGCTTAAATTTGTCCGGCTAGTGTCTATAAAAATTAGAAATCACAATATCGTGGGTAGCAAAATCACCTCAAAGAAGGCATCCTTGTATGTAGTTAAATTGTTACTCAACCACTTCTCAAGGTCAAGAATGTTTTTTCTTGAAGCAACAGCGGCTAACCTTATACTGTAATAATAGGGAATGACTTCCACCACCTGTAATAGAATCTGTAAAAACAAACAACAGTTCAAAGGGCAAACAACAATAACAAAGTCAGTAGATCGGCAGCATCCAAAAGGGCAGGTGTGAAAGACTACTGCAAAGAATCATGACAGCAAACTATCTATTACAAAAATGACCCTGATGAAAAGTTCAAACTTAATATGAGAACCACCTTAAGCTCTTGGCAGATGTCTACAATTCTCACAATGCTGCCCACATCATCGTTTTGAGAATCCATGAAGCCTCGCAGGACCAGATTGGGATTTATGTGCCAAAGGTGTAGAATCATTCCACTACCAACATCACTTTTTACTATCATGGGAAAAACAATCAGAGATACTTCTCGCTGGAAGAGGTTGTAAGTAGTCTGCAAGAACAGATGCAAACTTTACTACAAGAAAGACATGGAAAAGGCACACTATGAAAGAGCAATGAATTCAAATCTATGAACTCTTACATTAACATGGGACATCCCAAGAAGCAATATTTCTGGACAGTGTTTAAGGGGATAATCCATGATTGACCAAACAACACTGGCATGACCTTTCTCAGCTAGCTGGCATAGGACATCCAAAAGGTCAATGCACAGCCACGCATGATTTGCATGTCCATTTTGAAGCTTGTGGCCATGAATTGCATCAGCATATGCCTGCATAGAAATTTAAAGTAAAAATTTGGAGTTGGAATGGAACAAGAAAGAAAAGACAGATGCAAAGAATGAGAATAATACCAGTTGCCTCGCAGAGTGTGCAAATGTAAACATTTCTGGCGGTGCGGTTACAGCATATTTAAGGAAAGACAGCTGACCCTCAGTATTCTTCCAAACAGACCCGCAGACGGCGCGGAGAGGAAATGGTTCCTGCAAGGCACAATTACGAACATTCCGAATTTCATGTCATATAGGTTCCATTGTTCATATTTAACACCAGGAAAATCATATTTACAATTCTAATATATTACCTTACAGGCATGCTTATAAACAGACATAAGAAAAGAGAATGCCTCTTCACTGGGAAGGTAAAATCCTTCATGATCAAGATTTTCAATGACACGGACCCAATTGGTTTGTGGTGCCTGTATAAGATATGAAAAAACATGGGAAAAAGAAAATGTTCACCTCTTTGACTCCAATTCCAATAACTGAAATAAAACCTTGCACCATAATAGGCACAGCTATTTAAGAAAACTCACAAGACCCTTGACCGCATCTATCAACACGTCAACATTCCAAGAGTTAAGTGGTGGTAACTCGGACAAGTTATTGTATCCAAGTGCTGCGCCGAAAGTTAAGAATGTGCTCTGGTTATCCTCCAGCCCAGCATGAGAGTGTGCAATAGCACCAAGTAATTTAGCAAGCATATTATCCGTTAAAGGTAAGAAGAGTGACAATACTTCCTTGCAATGTGAGACATCAACTGTGCATCCATAACCTAGTTCCTTTACAAGATCCCCCATGTTCATTTCCTTCTGTATGTCTGCCAAAATAGCATCAAAATCATTCTCTTCACTCTCATGGATGAACTCCATATTCCTGTACAAGAGAGGAAAAGCAACTAAGCAGACATGTAATTAAAACACCAACAGCAGATGCAGCACCTTAGTAATCTAATACAATGCTTCAATTAATGCAAAAACATACAATAATATTCGAAGTGGTTACGATACTAGGTTTAATTCACCAGCACTTTAAATTTAATGAACAATTCAGAGGCTTCATCTTAGCCAATTATTCCATTCGTTGGGATAGATTAATGAAAAAGTTGACTTAATAAAAAGTAAGCAGTAAGTATGCAGTGATTACAAACTTTTGCCTCAATTGTCTTCTAAGCAAGCACACGACTAGGATAACTAAATAACTTACCACCTCAAAAAATCAGCCCCGTGCATCTCGTCAGGTAGCATCGGGGTCAATACAAAAGGTGGTGTGTCATTGAACTGCACCAGCGATAATATCTGCATAAAGAAATCTACATGCTCAGAGAGACCTTCGGACTGCTTGAGGAACGTGATAACAGTATGAATTTGCTCATGGAAACTCAGAGAACCAGGATTGGCATACAAGTCTTCAATCTGAGTCATGCAAAAATTCTTGCCTACAAAGAAGTGATAATTTAGGTCAAATATATAATATGAAAATGGACATAGAACTAACATTGCAAAAAGAAATTAACATTATTTGTTTAAAATGGTAGTAAGAATAACATTAAGCATGAATTGATGGAGAAATTGATTTAATACACACCACATAGTCTGGCATCAGGATTTTCAGAATCAGATAAAGCAAGACTGACGGCAATTCTCTCCAATAAAGACAGCTGCAATCCATTACAAAAGCTTTCGAGAAAGCTTTCATTAATGTCTACATTCTTCATTGACTCGGAAAACACCGTGCTGAAGTTTGGTTTGTCCAAGAGGTACTTAACTACTGCCCCGAGAATCGGCTCATGTTGCATATCTTTTCTATCTCTTCTGACATAATTCAAGTGATCCAAGCAAGTTTGGAGCAGCAAAATGCATCCAACGGTTCCAAATTCAGTGAACTGTCAATGTTGATAAAAAAAAAACAGTCAAAATTAAATTACATGAACAAAGCATAAAATTTGATCCTAACCCCATGTCACAATTAAATTTTCTGAATAAAGCATAAAATTAACACGCACAATTAACAAGCATTGTCTTCCTAATATATATCACAGACCTAGAATTGAATTGAACCTAAAATCGCAAATTCTGAAACCCTACCCCGATCAAAAACAAAACAACAGCAGCGAATTTCAAAAAACAGGGTTAGAGAAAAAAAGAGGTGAAAAAAAAAACCTGAGAAAGTTGGTGGAGAACGGAGTCAAAGTTGACTTGGTTCAAGGAGTTGAGCAGGAAGCGAATCTGATTGGAAGCTGTGGAGGAAAAATTGGCCATGATTCGCGAAGAACCGAGACTCATCGTAGGAAGCGATCGGAACTGAGAGAGAGAGAAAGAAAGAGGGCATAAAATGAAAATGAGAGAGAGAGAGAGATATTTCAGTCAAGAATTGGGTCCCAAAAATTGATTCTGTTTGCCTTTTTATTTATCTTTTTGGCATTAGGTTTGGGCCATTTTCAATGGGATATTATTGTGCAATATCATACGCATACTATTCTAACCTTCCAATTCATTCGTGTCATGTAATAATTTATTAGAAATTTTCACCCTCACACCTTTGAAAAATCAAAATTGTCCTTCATATATTTGGAGATATATCTCCAGACGCACTAAAATTATGCTAAAATACGTTATTCTAAGATCCGTCTTAAATTGATCAAAAATATGGTTCGAGGATACATCTCTTTATGTTATTTAGGCGTATTTGGAGATGCATCTCTGAAATGTTTTTTGGAGTCTTTTAAAAGGTGTTGAAAGCGTGTCGATTGTAATGGTGATTTAATTTAGAGATGCATCTTCAAAATCCCTCTGAATCATTTTAGAGCAATATCATTGTCACAACATCGTAATTTTTTCGCCAACTTATATTATAGTAAAATGAAGTTATATTAAAGTTAAAAGAAAATAAAAATTCATATATTAATCTAAAAAGTCAATGTCATACATAACATTTGTCTGAAAATACAAAAAAAGTAATACATCCAAACATAAACTAACTATTGGATATGTCTAATCACACTCATCATCTGCCACTTGTACTGAACAACATTTTGTAACTTAACATTCATGGTCTCCACGAGAACCAATTTGGGAGTGTCGTGCTCAAAGAGTCATACCTCTATAACTCATCTACCTCTCTCCTCAATACGCTGACAAACCGCAATTAAACTTTCGGCCTGTTCATCCTAAATCTCAAGTACCTTCAGGTTAGGTGGTCTAGGTAGTCTTCCAAGAGTGTCTGGTGTCATGATAGGGTGTGACACCATGTAGAACTATGTCATGTAACCCTCAGCATAAGCTCAGTGTACATGAGCAGACTCTCTGCGATATTTCTCTAGTACCAGGTGACTCTTGAAATCATCCAGTATAGCACAAGGATCTTTGCGGTGGACGCCGAGAAGAGTGACCTCATAGGGAGCTCTCAGAAAAATCTGTAAGTAGGAAAACGGGTGCATCGCTCGCTTTGGCATATAAGGATGCATGAGAGATGACTCATATGTCAGCCATCTGGACTATAAGGAGATGACGTTAAACAGGCATGTCTGGCGGTGACTCTCGTAAAGGAAGAATCAAACATCATCTGGTACCGTACAGTCAAGTGAGACTTTGAATGGCTCGACTGCACTATTCCCCAAGTACGGAACAAATGTGGCTGCATGTGGCCAGTATAACACATCAAACCATGAATAATTTAAATGAATTAAATGACAATTTAGAATGTCAATCGACAAAATACACATACTTTTCAAACATTTTAAAATATCAACTTGTAGCGGAATATTAATTAAACAAAGCTTCAACATATTTCTTCAACAATGAAATACTCAAATCACATCACATGATTAAACTCATAACTCAAAGCAAGACAAATTGCCATGTTCCCAATGTTATAGAACAGATCATTAAACCAACTAAAAATAATGATCAACTAAGAAAACAAAGATAAGCATCCATCCATCTTCCAACTCATGTCAACAAGTCACTTGTCTTAAGTATTTGTACAAGCAACAGAAAAACAACAAGAGAATGGGTGATGTTGTACCCCATAATTTGTTCTCTCATTTTCAATACAAATTAATTCAAGATACCTTTTTATGCTCATGAAGGTCTCAATTGCTCAAGACTTATCAAAGATTGATCAGATGGACTCTCCTCTTAAGCAATTGACCTACAACTAGGGTTTTGCTTCTCTCAAAGGAAATTGAGTTTTTAATACCTTAAATGGACTTCGTGATTTCTCATATGTCTCAAAGAATCTTCATACCAAGTTTCAAGCCTTACATCATAAGTTTCCTCAATCAATTAGCCAGATGATTGAAAATCAATTGTATTAGACAAAAAGTCAACTTTGACCAATCTACAATCAAACTTCAAGATTTTTTGTCAACATCAATATTTTGAAGTCACATTCATCAATTGATCAAGGTTGATCATGATTTATCAAGAAAACTCAAGATTCATCAAAAGTCAAAAGTTACTAAATTAGGGTTTTCTTTAGGAGAAGTCAACTGAATTTTGACCAAGCACAACTTTCACATACTTCATTAAAAATTTCTTAACCAAATTCTATTGTTATACCCCAAAATTTGCCCTCTAATTTCTCAAAGGATCACCATGGACCCTCGGGTTTTCTTCCATCCAATTCCAAGCCTTGAATTACAAATTTTCCAAGAAAGTCATTCACAAGGGCAAAATGGTCATTTGCATACTGAAAAGTCAAACTTTGACTTTTGGATTAAAGTCGAGTTTCAAGAGTCATATTTCATCAAGACATGTTGAAATATGAAGTTTGTTTCATCAAGAAAATTCAAAAGTCAAAATTACTTTGGAAAAGTAAAAATTATAAATACTTAGAATTTTTCTAAGTGTTTAAGAAATATGACAAGCTCATAACTTCTGGCCAGATTATCACCATGATGCAAGATGATTCTAGAAGAACTTTTAACTCAAGAGTTTTAGATCTCAATGAGACCTAAAACACTGCAGAACAGAACTTCTTCTAGAAATACTGGGTTTCAAGTTATACATCCTTAAAGTCATGTCCCTGAAACTTAAACACTTTGTAAATTCTGAGCATTTTCAAATCAGAATTTGTTTACAACTTCTGGGCCAGTTTTCACGTAGGTTCAGTCAGAAGTGGCAAGAGTAACTCAAAGAGGGCTTACAAAGCATGTCATAAGCTTTCTGGAAAGTCTGAGAACTCGCTCAGAACATGCTGGAGAAAAGAGATTAAAGGATCAGAAGTTGGATGTTGGTTCTAAGTTGCGCTGATGTTGAACTTCTGACCCAGAATTAAGCTATGATTCATAATATCACATTGTAGGATTTCTGGTTTAATAAATCTCATCATCATTTAATGCTCACAACCACTTTTGAGTTTTTATCCAAAGGATTTGCCCACGTGTGACATAGAAGTATATTGTTATCCTTGAAAAAGCAAACTTTTGTACAAGAGTATGTTGGGCCTCATTGCTTTGCTTTTTCTTCTGAGGGTACTTTTCCTTAATTCATGCTTACAAATCCAGCTTAGGCACGGCTAAAAGATGCTAACCACCATACTTGTTTAGCTTTCTTCAAGAACAAGTCAGCACGCTAGCATGATGTTGGTACTTTTGACTTCTCCAAGCTACAAGGTTATTGCCTATAAATTGAACTTCATTTACAACTGTGAAATGGGGGACCGGTGTCGAAAAACTGAAAAGAAAAAGCTTTAAAACCTTGCTAAAAATTCCAGGAATCTGAAATTGTAAACACAAATACAAAACCTGCTAGTTTTTTATTCTTGCATTCAAACTCCAACTTCCCTCGAGTGTTTTTTGACCAAATCATCCATACAGCTTCTGAATTTTCCAGCCATTCGTAACCCAAGTTAAAGGTTGTTCCAGTCTTCTAAGCACGTGAGGAGGCTTATCAGAACATTATAAGCAGTTAGTACCAGGCTCCAAGTTCACAGGACTTTCTCCAGCTGCAAGGTAAGCTTCTACTGACTCTCATCATATCACTTAGGCATTGTTAAACTTTCATGTCCAAAATACAATGTAGACATCTTGATTCTGATGTTGTACATATTATGAGGTTTCATGTATTTGTTTGCCTAAGTAGGGAGAACATCAGTTCATAACTTCTTAAGGAAACTAGGATTAACAGATACATGCTTGTTTCCAGTTTGCAGTCTTGACTTTTTTATGTTTCTGAAACCATGATGGAAACCTGCCATAATTGTTATGTTTGTGTTTTTCTGTTCTGTTAAGAAATGACCAATTTGCAGATGTTCTAATTAGCTTGAAGAAATAGATGGAATTTATCATCAGAGTTTACTTTATAATACATGTTTATGCTTTTACTTCTAATACCGAATGTACAGCCACCCCAGTGGTAGACAGTGTGTACACAATGTATTCTCAAAACTTGGTGCATTACCTCTAAGCCACAATGTATTCGCAAAACTCAGTACATTGCTTCTAAGCCGCGATGTATTTGCAAAACTCAATACATTGCCTCTAAGCCTCAATGTATTCTCCAAACTCGGTACATTGCCTCTAAGCCTCAATATATTCTCCAAACTCGGTACATTGCCTCTAAGCCTCAATGTACTCTCCAAACTCGGTACATTGCCTCTAAGCCTCAATGTATCACAAAAATCGGTACATTGCTTCTAAGCCTCAATGCACTCTCCTCATCTAGCCCACTGCCTAAGACATCATGCAGCAGTGCGGTTCCTAGCTCGGTGATAAAAACTATCGCCTAAGACGTCGTGCAACAATGTGCTTCTTTATTCCTCAACCCAAACATCACCTAAGTCGACATGCATCAATGTTCGAAAAAATAAAACTCGGTACATTGCCTCTAAGCCTCAATGTATTCTCCAAACTCGGTACATTGCCTCTAAGCCGCAATGTATTCTCCTAGCTTGGTACATTGCCTCTAAGCCTCAGTGTACTCTCCAAACTCGGTACATTTCCTCTAAGTCTCAATGTATTCACAAAAATTGGCATATTGCCTTTAAGCCTCAATGTACTCTCCTTATCCAGCCCACTGCCTAAGACATCATGCAGCAATGTGGTTCCTAGCTCGGTAATAAAGACCAACGCATAAGACGTCGTGCAGCAATGTGCTTCTTTATTCTGCAACCCAAACATCCCCTAAGTCGACATGCAGCGATATTTGGAAAAAAAACTCGGTACATTGCCTCTAAGCCTCAATGTACTATCCTTAACTTAACCCACTGCCTAAGACATCATCCAGTAGTGTGGTTCCTTGTTCGGTGATATAGATCA